CACCTGCCCCTCCTCACACACCTGCCCCTCCCCACACTCCTGCCCCCTCCCCACACACCTGCCTCTCCTCACAGCCCAGGGATGGTCTTCTGAGAAAACTGCCATCAATTAGGAAAGAGCTTCGGATGCTCCCATGACAACTGTGGCTTCGTCCGGAAGACAAAACGGAAACGTGATCAGAAGCCCTTCTCCTGCCTCTGAAATTGGCCCCCATCCTCTCATTGGTCAACCCTTGTTTGCACCAAAAATGAAAGAGCAGAGCAGTGTGGGAAATGTAGAATTCTGCTTTATAACCTCTCCAAGTACAATCAGAGAGGGCAGGAGTATGCTCTATTTTTCATCAGAAATACATACTGAAATCAATTCCCTTGGGTTACGGGCTTGGTCATGAACTTGGTCACGGCTTGGTCATGATTTGGTTCATGGACTTGGTCATTGACTTGGACATGAACTTGGTCATAATTCGGTCACGGACTTGGTCATGGATTTGGTCACAGACGTGGTCATGAATTCGGTCATGAACTTGGTCATGATTTGGTCATTGACTTGGTCACGGACTTGGTCATGGATTTGGTCACAGACATGGTCATGAATTCGGTCATGAACTTGGTCATGGACTTGGTCACGGACTTGGTCATGGATTTGGTCACAGACATGGTCATGAATTCGGTCATGAACTTGGTCATGGACTTGGTCACGGACTTGGTCACAGACTTGGTCATAACTTGGTCGTTGACTTGGACACAGTAGTAGTGAGTTGTCACAGAAGCTGAGTCTGGGAGTCTAGCAGAGACTTGGAGTAGAATTCTAGCGCAGACATCTGTGAGCGTGGCCACTCGTGCCCCCGCTCTGAGCCTCAGTTTCCACATCGGCAGTGACATCCAGGCCACCCCACAGGTCATCTTGAGGACCACATTCCACATGAATGTGAAACGCTTCCCGCGGATCGGGTACGAAGCACCTGTAAGCTGATGCGATAGAAGAAAAATTGTATGGGACCAGGTCGGTTACATTAAGGATTGGGTGTTAATTACAATTTACGCTGTTCTAGTTTTTGAAAAATGGCAACCCTATTTTTATGTAGCCTGTGAGTTAGCACATTACCTCATTTTCCAATCACCTGGGAACTTGAGGTCATGGGGGAATCAGGTCAAGTTAAACTCACGGCAAACATTTGTGGGGCCACGTCGGCTTGTCATAGAGTTTCCCCAGTCTTGTAAGAGAGGTTGTGTTAACAACTACTCAAACCATATCTGAATGTTTATGCTGTCATTTAGACTTCGTTTCTACAGTCTCAAATGCTCCTATATTTGCATTGGAGAGCCTCTCACACTTTGTAATTTGGGGATCTTGTGTGAGTCTGATGTCCAATTCGCTCTTGGTTTCGGGTCTGTGTAGAGCCGGCCTTCAGCTCTGGACAGTAACAAATGAAGGCTCCTGGCCAGCAGGCCCGTCGGCCAGTCTCAGGAAAGGGGTGACTGGGGAGTTACTTTTCATTGTGGGTTATCGTTTAGGTGAGAAAAGCATAAACTCCTAATTACCTGGGGTGATTGATACCTGGCTCGCTCGGGTGGTCAGAGGGGGAAGGCGACCCTGTGAGCCGTATAACTCTGAGCCCGAAATCAATACGAACAATAAGGTCCCTTGGCTGCCCTGCCTCTTCCTCACCCACTGAGCGCTTCCCACCACCGGGCTTCCCACCACCGTCATGGTATTTCAATTCTCTCCATGATGTTGCTTCTCATCCCTTTGTGTCTGGGATGTCACCTGCTCACTGAGTGTCCCCGGCCCCAAATGCGGGCTTAGTCCCTCCAGGGACAGAAAGGAGGGCCGCGGTGGCGAGGGAAGGCGGTCAGGGCCACGTGCTGCCGCTGCTGTATTTCTCCTTCTGGGACGCGGCTGCTACAAACCTCCATGTGAGCCACTTGGAAGGGTCCGAGCCTGGAATCCCGTGCTTTGCCCTTTACTGCAGATCACGGCCTCTGAGCAGCCCATGCTCAGGGCCACCCCCAGGCAGCGGGCGCAGCCCCTTACCCTGGCGTCCCTCCCGGGGAAGCGCATCTGCCTCACCCAGGGCAGCACCTGGGAGCTCCCCACTGCCGCACATCCCCTTTGTGACCATTCGCTGGGCATCGCGGCCCCAGGGAGGTGTCAGGACGGGAAGGGCCGCCCCCACCCCTCACCCCACAGCGTCCACGGCTTTGTGACTGGACTTCCCAACCTTCCTCGGCCCGAAAACTCAGCTCCTGGGAAACCTGTGATTCCTCAGCTCCTGCCAGGAACAGAATTGTCCCCGGTGCCTGGCGGGAGACTCGGCTCATTTCATAGCATTGATTTCAAATCCCAGTCTCTCCGGGGTCACTGATCCTAACAGATGTCAGGAAACGCAGCTCGGTGAGGAGAGGCGGGAGCGGGGCAGTGAGGTCGTGGCGGGAAGGACGGGGTGGCAGGAGGGAGGCCCATCCTAGGGGCTCAGTGTGGACGTGACGGGGCACCATAGCCTTGGATCCACACACTGCCTCTCATTGTGCCGGATCCGCCAGGCACCCGGAACCAGGGGTGCAACTGTGGAGTCAGCACTGGGCTGCGCTGGCTCAGGCACACACACACTGATGCACACTCAACATACACACTCACACACTGCACATATACACACTCACACTCACACACACTCACACTCATACACATTCTCACACACACACTCACACACACACTCACACACACTCACACACACACACTGATGCACACTCAACATGCACACTCATCATCTGCACATATACACACACACTCACACACACTCACACACTCACTCATACACATACACACACACTCATCTACATACACACATCACACACACACACACTCACTCACACACTCAACATACACACTCACAAACTGCACATATACACACTCACACTCACACACACTCACGCACTGACACACTCATACACATACACACACTCACGCACACACTCACACACTCACACACTCACACACACACTCTCACACACACAACCTCACACACACACACATTCACACTCTCATACACTCACACACTCACACATACCACACATACACACACATGCACACACTCACATACACACTCACACACACACTCACTCTCTCACACACTCACACACACCACATACACACACACATGCACACACTCATGCACACTCATATACACACACTGCACATATACACACTCGCACACACTCACACTCACACACACACACACACATACCACACACACGCACTGTGCTCTGTCGTCTCCCATATTGGGCACGGTAACACTTTTTCTCTGTATCCATCTGAGGAAAGGCGTGTCTTAGTTCTCTCCCCCCAGCTCTCTGCAGTCAGCATTCCGAATCCCCCCACCCCCACAGGCCCAGGTGGGCACGGCCGGCCACACCGTCCGAGCTCCATAAGCCACGAGCTGACCACGGACGTGGCTGCTGCTCCTCTGCTTCTCCCCGTGGGGAGGGCGGAGTGTGTCCCCCCAGAGGCCGCGGCCGCCCTGCCCTGAGCGGCCCCACACGTGATGTCCATCTCTTTCAGGAGCACGGCATTCCCGTCGACATGGGCTACGCGGTGGCCCCGCACCACTCGGGCGTCTACCCGGTGCACGGGCAGCTGTACGCGGCCTGGAAGCAGGTGTGGGGCATCCAGGTGACCAGCACGGAGGAGTACCCGCACCTGAAGCCCGCGCGGCACCGCAGGGGCTTTGTCCACGACGGCATCATGGTGAGCTCCGTGAGTGGGCAGCCCAGTTCCCCTCACAGCACCCCAGCTCCCTCACAGCACCCATCTCCCTCACACAGCACCCATCTCCCTCACACAGCACCCCAGCTCCCTCACACAGCACCCCAGCTCCCTCATATAGCACCCATCTCCCTCACACAGCTCCCCATCTCCCTCACAGCACCCCATCTCCCTCACATAGCTCCCCATCTCCCTGACAGCACCCCAGCTCCCTCACAGCACCCCAAGTCACTTACAGCACTTCAACTCCCTCACACAGCAGCCCAGCTCCTGCTGTACATGGTGGTGACAGGCCACACAGGCTGCGCAGGCTGCACACTGGCCCCTGAAGCTGGGGGTGGGGGGTCGGGGGGGCTTGGCAAGTGCAAGACAAGCTCCACATCTTGGAAAGGGTTTCCCACAGCAGCGAGTCCCTGCAGCGTCAGGACTAAAGCTCTGCCTGGGGCCCGGCTCTTCCGGGGAACGTCTGGGTCTGCTTGGTGGTGGTTTTATTGAGCGTTTTCCAGGCAGAGGGTGGGTTCATAGGTCAAGAATTCTCCCCCCCCCCCCCCCCCCCCCCCCCCGCAAGTCACGGCACCATCACTGACAGTCCCTCCACGCAGCACAGAGTCCACTTAGCTCCCGACCCTGGCACATTAATTGAAAAAACAACCATAATCTGATGCGAGAATGATGTGTGATTCCTTCATATGAGGATGAAAACAATTGCGTTTTAGATGGAAACTCATGATTATTGACTGGAATGAAGACATAGTATTCTTTACTTTGAGACAGAATAGCCCGTCTTAAAATGCCTGTCCCACTTCCGGCGCATAGGCCACGTCCTCACGGTCAGCTGCCTGGGTCCCAGCAAGCTTAGCACTCTTCTCCCTCCTTTAGATATTCACACACCCACCCCCAGCCCTCTCTGGGATTCCTCTCAGATTTACCCACCTGTCCTGTCCCTCTGCCTGGGTCCTCGCTACCTAAAACCAAAGGAGAAGCAAAACCACTCACTGTTTCTCCCCAGGAAGCGTTCATGGCTTATTGTCAATTGATACCACACACCTCAGACTTGATGGAGCTGTTGATGGTGAGATGGTGGGAGTGATGTTCAGGGGACTAGGAGGTATGGAGAGTGTCACTCCTGTCATTCAGACCAAGGAGAAGGGACCTGCTGTCCCATGGGCTGCATGACCATGGGACATATCTATACTAATAAAAGGGTAATATGCTAATTAGACCAGGAGACCTTCCGGGAGACCTTCTGGATATCCTTCCGGACAAAGCCATGGTGGCAGGGCTGAACCAGAGGCAGTTAGGGGTGATCAGGCTGGCAGGAGAGAACAGTTGGGGGTGAGCAGGCCAGTGTGGGGTGGCAGTTGGGGGTGAGCAGGCCAGCAGGGAAGGGTAGTTGGGGGCGAGCAGGCCAGCAGGGTGGGTAGTTGGGGGCAAGCAAGCTGGCGGGGGGCGGCAATTGGGGGCAAGCAGGCTGGTGGTGGGGGCAGTTGAGGGCAATCAGACCAGCAGGGGGGGTAGTTGGGGGCAATCTGGCCAACAGGAGGGGTTAGTTAGGGGTGATCAAGCCGGAATGGGGGGCAGTTGGGGACGATCAGGCCAGCAAGCAGAGTGGTTAGGGGCGATCAGACAGGCAGGCAGGTGAGTGGTTAGGAGCCAGCGGTCCCAGATTGCGAGAGGGATGTCCCAGATTGGAGAGGGTGCAGGCCAGGCTGAGGGACAAACCCCTGTGCATGAATTTCGTGCACTGGGCCACTAGTCCTATATAATAAAAGGCTAATATGCAAATTAACCAAACCCCAAAAGGACCGGTCGCTGTGACGCGCACTGACCACCAGGGGGCAGATGCTTAATGCAGCTGCTCCCCAGTGGTCAGTGTGCTCCCACAGGGGGAGCACCACTCAGCTAGAAGCTGGGCTCACAGGTGGCAAGTGCAGCAGCGGAGGCCAGAGCCTCTTCCACCTCTGCTGCAGGCAGGTGGTAAGCAGTGAGGGGTCCCAGACTGTGAAAGCCCCGGACTGCGAGGGGGATGTCTGACTGCCAGCTTAGGCGGACAGCCCTGAGGGGTCCTGGTCAGCGGGAGGGCGCAGGCCGGGCTGAGGGACCCCTCTCCCCCCCCAACAGTGCACAAATCTCATGCACCGGGCCTCTAGTTCTGAAATAAAAACATTCCTTTTAACCAATATTACAGGCATCTGTTTACCTTGACTTTTCTTACAAGCTATTATGGAAATTAAACAAAGAATAAATAAAATCACGGCTAGTCTGTACAACTGGATGCATTTTCCCATTAGATTAGGAGTAGCTTATTATTCCAAATAAGTTCTCAGAATAAAATCACTTACTTGCCTTCTCTGTGGCACGTTCAGATTTACAACAGAATTCACCACAGAATATGCCCCAAGCGATCACCAGGTCACGTGGCCACTTGTGTGATTGACAGTTCCATTCCGAGGACAGTGAGAACAGCACCAGGCGAGGTGGGAGCGTGACGAGAACCCACCGAGTCCCAGAGCCCAGAGCCATGTCCGACCATAACTCAGAGGCAAGGAGAGGACGCCCAATGCCCCGGAAGTGGAACCTGGGGGAACCCCTCCTTTGAGTTAACTTAACCCTAAGAAGGCCTGAATTTGGCGAATCCTCTCACCTAGTGAGCTCAGGAGGGGTGTGGGGGTGATTTATAGGCCTGAGTACAAAGACTTTAGCACATGGACACCAGAAAGACGGACAAGTGGGTTTCAGAGCAAATTCAGGCTGAAACACAGCTGGGGCAGGTGACACACTGACACACGGACGCTGTCCTACTCCAGACATGCCATGAGGAGGCGGGGCTTTGGAAAAGACAATGATGCTGGGAACGGAGGCAGCAGGAGAAGAGGAGCCCAGACACGAGGTGGAGGGGCTCACGGAAGAGCCACAGGCTGCACAGGGCTGTGAGGATGGACACTGGGCGGCACCATTCACGGGTTCCCCAGAGTCGGAGCCGACTCGATGGCACGTAACACACACCGTTAGCTTTGAAGTGACAACTCCCTCCATATTTACGCGATCACGCCATCGTCAGCTCTCGATTCCCGTAGACCTGGGCGTCAGCACCAGGGCAGCGCCGTGGGCACGCGGCGTGCAGACGGGGCCTGTCAGTGGCGCTGGGTAACGCCCTGTCCCCGTTCCCCCCTCAGGTCCTCCCCCGGCAGACCTGCGGGCTGTTCACCCACACCATCTTCTACAAGGAGTACCCCGGGGGACCCCAGGAGCTGGACAAGAGCATCCAGGGAGGCGAGCTCTTCCTCACGGTCCTGCTGAACCCAGTACGTACCCCCTGACGCCCACCCCCACCCCCCGTAACATCGGGATTCGCGAACGTGCGCCTCATCTTGTGTCTGTCCTCAGCCCTTCCTCAGCCATCCTTGGATGGGGCCAGCCCGGCCAGAGAGAAATCAGACCACAGGTCCGAGTTGGCACCTCCCTGGTTGTCTTAGAGCCAGGCAAGCTCAGATTTGTTCCAAAGACAGTGTTGGCCCGAGCTGGTGTGGCTGGGTGGACAGAGCATCGGCCTGCGGACTGAAGGGTCCTGGGTTCGATTCCCCATCAGGGCACATGCCTGGGTTGTGGGCTCGGTCCCCAGTAGGGGGTGTGCAGGAGGCAGCCGGTCCATGATTCTCTCTCATCATTGATGTTTCTATCTCCCTCTCTGAAATCAATACAAATAACTAAAAAAATAAAAATACAATAAATAAAAGACAGTGCTGAGCAGAGCACCCCGGTTTCCCGCAGCCCCTCGGGTGGCTCCTGGCCGAGCTGCAGTGGAGACACATGAGCGCGCTCTGCAGCCAGGACCCGTCCTCGCCCTGCTGCCAGGTGCTAGGAAGCTGAGTTTGCTTCTGGCTGGTGGCCTCAGGGGACACCCTGCCTTCCTTCCTGCCCGGGAAGTGCTCTCAGTGCAAACCGGCTGCACACACGTGGCCGCATGTGTCCTGTGAATGAGGGTCCGCTGAGGCCTCTTTCAAAAGCTCCACCCATTTTATTTGGGGACTCGGGTCTCCAGGCGAGGGGTGCGGACAGCACCTGCTGGTGTGACGTCAGCACGGCCCGTCCAGCCCACATGGGACGTCACCCCAGCCCAGGTCAGCGCTCCGCAGGGACGCAGGGGCCCGGATGGGCAGAGGGGTCAGGGGTGAGGTCCTGTGCTGATGGAGGCGGACAGTCCCGGGACATGCAGGCCGCCAGCGGGGGACTCGCGGGTGATGGGGGAGGTGCGGTCCGAGGGCCAGCGGGCTGAGACCCAGGGGAGCCCGTGTTTCAGGTCAAGTTTGAAGGCAGGAATGACCAAGGGGAACCTAGCGCTTTGATCTGTGGGCCAGGCAGGACTTGAGCCCCCGAGGTGACGGCTGGGAGGGAGCTCAGCCCACGGACAGACAGACGGGGAGAAGCGAGCGTTGAGGCTGCTGGACTGACTCCTGTTCCACGTGGGATGGTTCCAGCAAGCC